CATATATCATCAGTTAACAGTGTTTCTCTCTATCCTCTTTAGCTTTTTTTTTTTGCGGGGGTGGGGGGCACAATAAAACATCTAAGAAAAAAAAAAAAAAGTTAAGCACTCAGCTGCTAATCCAAAGGGAAAAAAAAATGAAACACACAGAAAAAAGATATGCTTATTATAACTATTGGTTTTAAAAATTCAATTAATGGTATTTTTTGTTTTTTTTTTTACATAGCATCTTTATTGACATATAATTAACATTTTGTAAAATTTACTTTTTAATGCAATTCTGGAAATTCAGTTAATTTCACAATGTTGTGTAATCATGACCACTATCTAATTCTGGACATTTTTATCATCCCCCCAAAATCCTGTACCTAATAAATAGTTACTCTCCATTCTCCCTGCCATCAGCACACTCTATCCCCCACTGCCACTCCAGCAACCCTGAATCTACATTCTATCCCTGTGAATATACCTACTCTGTACAGTGCATACAAGGGGATCCATATAATATGTGACCTTTTGTGAGTGGCTTCTTCTAACATCATGCTTTTGAGTTTCATCAATGTTATAGCTTGTATCAGTATGAGTACTTCATTCCTGTTAAGGCAGAATAATATTCCATTTTATGGACACACCTAATTTGTTTTTTTCATTCATCAGTTGATGAACGTTTAGGCTGTTTTCCATTTTTATGAATAATTCTTATTGTATGAATAATAGTTCTATGAACATTTGTTATTTTTGTAAACTTATGTTCTCTTGAACTGTATAACTAGGAATGGAATTGCTAGGTTATATGGTTAAGCTTCTGAGAAACAGCCAGACTGTTTTCCATAGAGGACACACAACTTTATTTTCCTATGAGGTCTCAAATTTCTCCACATCTGTGCCAACACTTGTTATTTAAGTTGGTTTGAACTGCAAGGTCGGCAGTTCAAGCTCACCAGTCAATACTTGGATACCCTGTACAGGGGCACGTCGGAATTGACTCAATGGCATTCAACAACAACAACAATGGGTATGAAGAGATGTTGAGAATTGTTCATGTATTTATTAGCCATTCTTCCTTTGACAAATAGCTATTGAAATCCTTTGCCTATTTTAAATAGAATTATTTGTCTTTTTATTGTTGAGTTCTAAGAGTTCTATATCTGTTCTGGATACAAATCCCTTTTCAGATACATGATTTTCAAATATTTCTCTTAAAATAGTTAAAAAGATGATTCTTTCCCCCATTTAATTAACTTGGCATCTTGTCTAAAATCAGTTGATTATGAATATGCAAAATTTTATTTCTGTACTTTATATTAAAGTCTACTGTTATAGTTATGCCAGTACCACTCTTTCTTGATGATTGCAGCTTTGTCGTTTTGGAATCAGGAAGTATGAGTCCTTCTATTTTCTTCTTTTTCAGAATCATTGTGGATTCCTTGCAAATTCATATGCATTTCAGAATCAGCTAGAATTTTGAATTAAATTATTGTGACTGCAGATTGAGTGGAAACCATGGGTATCTTAACAATGTTGTCTTCTAATCCATGAACATAGTATATTTTTCAATTTATTTAAACCCCAAAACCCAAACCCACTGCAATCAAATTAAGTCTACCTCATAGCAATCCTTTAAAACAGAGTAGAACTGCTCCTTTTGGGACCAGGGAGTCTCTTCTTTCTCCTGTGTAGTGACTGAAGGGTTTGAACTGTAGTTATCAGCACAACTCCTAATCCTCAGCACAATATTTAGATGTTCATTAATTTCTCTCCATGATATTTTATAACTCCATATACAATGGAGAAAAGTGTCTACTCTGCAGTTGCTGGTGGGTATTCTGCAGTGTTCTGAAAATGCCTGTTAGGAGTAGCTGGTTTATGTTGTTGTTATTAGGTGCCATCGAGTCAGTTCCAACTCACAGCAACCCTATGCACAACAGAACAAAACACTGCCTGGTCCTGAACTATCCTCACAATTGTTGTTACCCTTGAGCCCATTGCTGCTGCCACTGTGCCAACCCATCTCAATGGGGGTCTTCTTCTGTTTCGCTGACACTTCACTTTACCAAGCATAATGTTCTTCTCCAGGAACTGGTCCCTCCTGATAAGATGCCTAAAGTATGACAGACAAGTCTCATCATCTTTGCTTCTAAGGAGCATTGTGGCTGTATATCCTCTGATACAGATTTGTTTGTTCTTCTGGCAGACCATGGTACTCTCAATATTCTTCTCCAACACAATAACTCAAATTAATCAATTTTTCTATGGTCACCCTTATTCATTGTCTAACTTTTATATACACATGAGGCTATTGAAAATACCATGGTTTGGGTCAGGTGCATCTTAGTCCTCAAATTGACAATTCTGCTCTTCCACACTTTAAAGAGATCTTGTGCAGAAGATTTGGATAATGTAATAAATACATCATTTGACTTCTTGACTGCTGCTTCCATGAGTGTTGATTGCAGATCCAAGCAAAATGAAGTATTTGACAACTTCTATCTTTTCTTCAATTAAAATGCTATTTATTGGTTTAGTTGTGAGTTTTTTTGTTTTCTTTACTTTGAGGTGCAATCCATACTGAAGGCTGTGTTCTTTGATCTTCATCAGTAACTATTTTAAGTCCTCTTCACTTTCAGCAAGCAAGCTTATATCATTTACATATCACAGGTTGATAAAGAGTCTTCCTGCAATCCTGATGCCACGTTCTTCTTCAGATAATCCAGCTTCTCTGATTATTTGCTCAGCATAACACTAGACTGTGAAGCACAAGTTCAGCAGTTCAAACCCACCAGCTGCTCCTAGGAAAGCCTATATAGGTTCACGAGTCAAAATCAACTCTACAGCATGTAACAACAACAACAAGATTGAATAAGTATGGTGAAAGAATATAGCCCTGGCACACACCTTTCCTGATTTTTAACC